TGAATAGCGGTCGACTAGTCCATCGTTACGCTGTAAATCTAACGTTAGTTTTTCACCATTTAGATTTATATCGACTGATGCAGTTGACGATACAATTGGCCACTGATATTTTTCTCCTTTAATAGTTATTTCGGGCTTAAATAAATGATAACTACGAAGTCCATGAGGTAGTTGCTGTTTTTGTTCCTTGGTTAAGTTAGCGTCGGTCAGAGTATTTAACAATATCAAGGACAAAGCAACAGTTAGCCAGCGAGAATAGCTCTTGCTCCGTGTTTTACTGCTTCCTAGCGTGACCATCGCTAATCCTAGTACACTAAACATAGATACATTTTATCTTTTGGTCTGTCTATACATATGCAGTTAAATGAACAACTCATATCAAATAATTCAATTCTAAATAGAAACTGATTCTGATGTCTGGGTTTATTGAAAATTAGGGAGGACGTTGTATTTCTAGTCTATTTCTCAACAGAAAACTCGGCTACTTGTATCATTGCTTAAATTGTGTAGAAGTAAATTTCAAACAAGCACACGAGGATCTGCCGTCGAGTAAACTGATTGTGACTTTATCTACGCTTTAAAATCACAGGATATATTAAACCAGATAATTTTATCCTACCTACGGCGTATTGAATGTACTTGTACCTAATTTTCTCTTGCGACCGCAGTAATGGCACGTATAACGGATGTATACAATCGAGGCAAGTAATCGTTTGACAACCTGATTGTAGCTTTTAATTATCCTAGAAGACTTAAAGATCAAACAGTAATGCAAAGTGTTGAAGGGCACTACCCGAATATAGTACGATAAGAACGATTAATACAGGAATTAATGCTTAAGGCAGTTATTACGGGCAGGCTGAGTCTGCGGTCATTCTTATTCGCTCAAGCGTCAAATAAAAGATAGAAAGAGAACACAAAAGATAGAAGCAAATAACCCGAAAGGGTATTATTTACTTTTCAGAAAATCAGGTCATTGAACTATTCTATAGCAACGGAACTACGCCGGAACAAAGCATTGGATGAAAAAGCAATAAAGCTGCTGGTTTACACTGTATATATACATTATTAGTTTAATGTATTATTGCAATTGAATAAATTTTGAAGCAATGTTGTTATGATAAATTTTTACAAGCACAAGACCTAGATGATACGGATAAGTTGTCGATAGGACTGTTAATATCGCTGATTCATGGATTTCGAGGTGAAGCGATTAGATTACTTCCATAAAAAAATACTGCCCTTTAGATGCCATTATGATGCATGGGATGTTTAACTACACGCAGACTAACTAAAATAGGATTCTGTTTAACTAGACACGTAAATAGATCTTACGAAAGTGTTTACTTTCCGAGTCAGCTTTATAGCAGAATACTGTTAGTATTATTAGTCCTTGATACAGTATTTTGATCACTTTGATAGAATAATATGACATACTGCACTCTTATGAAAGTTAGTCGTTTCATGGTAAGCAACCCCATATGGAATATAATTGATTTTTATGATAAACCATACGTATTGACTGTATATATTATATTATGTATGGGGAGCAATATTTTCGTTGTCAATAGCTTCTTAATACCGGAGTGAAAAAACATTATGCTGTCAAAATCTTTTTATGGAGGAGTGCATAATTTGTGAGATTTTTCTGATAAATCTTTCATTTTGAAATTGTCTAAATTTGGGAGATTTTTCCGATAAATGGCTAATTTTGAAATTATCTTAGCTAGAATCCGAATCTCGTTCAATTCGCTTGCGATATTAGAGAAGTTGTTCAAAAAAAATACACCTCTAAGCGTTCATTTATGTCAGTACAAATGCAACTTCGTCAAAGCTAACTGCAATTGTTTGATCGTTGTACCTCATGGTGATATCTGTGTTAATATCCGAATGAATGCTATCATACTATAAAATATAAACACGTTTTGGTTCAGAATTTGACGTGAGTTGAATAACAGCTTGTGCGTTTAATTGCTTGTGAGAATGGTAGGCTTTAGTTTCAGGCATTGCACGTTCATTTAATTCAACGTGTAAGCGTAATTAATCCAATTCGAATATATGACAATTACGGTAATGACATTAAAAGTGTATTAAAACAGCCAGCTGAATAAAAACATGTAGACGAGGAGATGACTATATTTTGAAGGATTAGTTATTACTTGGTGACCTATGTAAACTAATTGATCGTTATCATTTACCAGCAATATGATTAGCCAATGAATAAGGATGGCTTGTAATATCAATCCTGTTCTCTTTTGCTGGATAAAATGCGAGGCTAGTCCTGTGCAGTAGATAATAAAGTCGTGTAAATTATATTATGAATATAATTATTACTTGCGAATGATTACTATGGACTCCAGGACTATGAAGAAGGCCTGAACTGATGAAGGATCACTCCCTGAGACGGACGGACGCTTCTTACCAAATAGAGCGTCAATATCGAAAAAATGATTACTTTATAGGGATCTTCTGCGTCTCTTTTCGAAATCGCTGGTACTAATGTAAAATAGTATCGACAATCTGAACCTATTTCTAAGTGGATCATAAGAAGATTTAGCGTAATATTAGTAAATTTAGAAAAATCAGTCCATTTCAAATCGATCGTCTCCATACTAAACTACAGTACTGTCAGTCATCACGAAGCGATTGGCACTATGTTTCTAACGAAATGAGGACGAAAATGTCTGTCCGTCCAAAAGAAGTGATTAGTTTAGCTGTTCCATTAGTCCATAATATATCATATTAATATGTACAGTATATTAATGAACTAAATGAACTAACAATTCTTGCAATAATAACAAGACAACAAATCTACTTGAGACATCACTACGGAAATTTTCAGGCCTAGTTGGATTGTATTGAAGTTTTATAACGTTGGATTATACTCTCTTGCCTTGACGAATTATACCTTTTGCAAATACTCCTCTACATACGCTAAGAAATCTTGGATTGACGTGTTACAACGCTATTGGGGTACTTCCAGTATCGACACAAGTGGAAAAATACAACAAACTAATCTCTATTTTGCAGTACACTGATTGATTAGCTTATTCAGAATTTCAAACTTGGAGATCAGCGGATAACCGGTTAAGAAACATATCGTATCATGGAAAATATTATTGCTGCTATATCAACCATCGGTGGCACTATCGATAATGCCTCTATTTTACCCAAATATAAAATACTCCTATTTGGCTTCACACTCAGTCTAACTCTATTCGATGTGGTGACAGATACGATTTTCCTAGTGGATGTGACACAAGATTTTCAACAATTTTCCAGATTATTACAAAATTATCGTAATCGATTCAATTTTACATCGAAAAAATTTGTCGGAACCAAAACATTTTGTAGCGCAAACTACAAAGCATTTAATTTATTTTACAAAATGAGAATTGGTCTATCCATTTATTACATGTTTTATGCTTTGTCTCTTGTGATGGCGATGGTTAGTATACTCTATCTCTATACTAGTATCTTTCGACGTCCCAAAGCAAAGTTTAGCCGTAAATTGTTAGGAATTGGTCAACTGTTGGAATTTTTACCCATCATCATCGAAGATATGCCCGAAGCCTTTCTAACAGTCTATTTTTTGAACGTCTTTGATAATCCAGCTGGTATGGATTGCCTGTACTGCGCTATAAATAGTAAATGTAAGGATCGTGCTCCTGTTGGTTTACGAACGCATACAGCTACACTGATTCGATTTATTGGCATCGCTGTACATGCATTTTTATTCTTTGCCCTAAAAGCGAGAGAATTATACAACCAAAGCTTAGAGGAACATGCCGAAGACAAACAGAAGACACTCTATCAAAATGCCAAATCTTATTATTGTTTTTGCCCTTGTTATGTGCTTTACTATGGTTGTTGTATTCAACCGTCAGGAAATTCTGGCTGTGGAAAATGTCGATACTACTTCCTGTTAATTATAAACATGTTACTGGCTGGAGTGCTTTCAGTGTGGATGGTATTTCTACCTGTATTTATTGGATACATGTTCTATCCTGTCTACATACCATTCATTATTAATATAGCCAACTTTAATAGGGCAAGGTTAACTTCCTTTCTGCTAATTGCTTCGATTACTTCAGGAATCTGCTGGGGTATTTTAGCAGTCATTGCTTGCATTTACCTATGGAGGCACATGTATAATCTACCCAAAGCCATTGGTACTTTTTTCTTGTCTATAATTTGTTTACCAGCATTTGTACCTTTTGCAAGCTATATCGTGTTACGAGATATCCATTATAATAGTCGTCATTGTGGTAAAGAGCAAGCAGCCGTAGCTACTGATGACGAGACTGTTGATAAATCGAAAGTAGAACTACAATTAGTTAATGATCAGCTTGAATCCGAACAACCTATAGAATATACCTATAACAATCTAAAAACAGCGGATCATGCCGATTCAATGACATACAGTAATTCTTCTTACGCTTTACTTTCTAAGGAGCAATGATTTGGTTGTTGTTGAGTCGAAATACTGTGACAAATGACATCAAGATCAGTCAATCAATATGCAGCATTTACTACCCCAGTACAAGCGGCATTACTGTTGTGGAAAAAATCACAATTTGCATTCATTACCTGCCTTCCATAACTTAGGATATATGTACGGTATACCGTAATCATTCTTTCGTTCGAGCATTACAGGTGTAGGTGATAGCTTTAGCTGACAATGTTACAATTTATTACATTTTAAAACATGTCATCATCATATGACTTCAATTTATATCTTACTAGGGATTTATTACGGATTGAATTTTATTACATTTTAAAACATGTCATCATCATATGACTTCAATTTATTTCTTACTAGAGATTTGTTATGGATTGAATTTTATTACATTTTAAAATGTGTCATCATGATATGACTTCAATTTATATCTTACTAGGGATTTGATACGGACTGAAGGTCCCTAACCATATTTCAGATTTTAGATATTTTAGATTTTATATTGACTTGGCCTATTGAGGGTTGTGACAGTCCCTCTCTATTTTAAGACTTTTTTTAGTATAAAATTTATCATTGAGAAGTCCCTGGCTGTAACAAGTAGAGATTTTATAGCATCGTCAAACAGACATTTATAATAGCTAAAGATGGATCTAATTACAGAAATTTTTAGTAATGTTACAAATTAACTACACCTGCATTACAACTTGCAGGACTCAACATTTACTACAGTGTAATGAAAACAAGAAGGTTCAATTCTTGTCTATTTCATCGTAATTAAATTAAGTTCCGAATATGCAGTATATTACTTAGAAATCAGATCTATAAATGGAAGCAGTATAAATGATAGTTAAAGATTACTATCAATTGGATATATCTGAAGAGTCAATACCAGTACAGCTCTTTTTATTGTCAATTTTAGTGCTACTATATAGAATATATTAAGTAATTACGTCTAATCTATTCTCGATATCTTTTCGAGCATTCTCAATTAACTACTTTTGGACAAGAATATTTATTTATCACGTTCTTGATCGAATAAACGCATATAGTATAGTCCACCAGTCAGTGGATTATACGTATTTTACAAAAAAGTATAATAAAGATTTGATGTGCCATTTTGTCATGCTAAGCTTTAAATTGCTCATAGTCCTATTTACGCTTAAATACAGTCAATACGCCTTTACACATTATTACATGCAGTTCATAAACGACTAACAGCTTGCCAACGAATAGCTGAGTTATGAACACCGTAGAATATATAATTAATTAATTTTATAAGAGTTCAACACGCTTTGCATTACAGTAGTACTACTATAGAACAGTACAAGTCAGTATTATAGCGTTTTAATCCGAGATCGATTCGGTCATAGCCCCAATTGCATCATAAACTAGAAACGCAATTAAAACTTTGCTCTATAAAGTTTACTCTACGTATATTGGGTTGTTATTGGCATTGTACGTTGCACTGCCTTAATCAAGCAGTACAGAACTGCAACACCTTATCATTGATCCCGCTTAAATATGAGTACAATGCCTAATAGCTGTTTAAAACTTTCAACAAGGACTGCTTTTGAAATGATAAAGAGCACTACAGTAGTCAGTGGGAATCTGCGAAAATGTGTAGAATAATGTTTGGACATCAACAGTAAGCTACGCTGTCAATTAGATAAGTGTACTGAAAATGAAAAGCTATCATGATATAATAGTGTATAAAGCCGTACAAGTGTACATGGTACTGTCAGCATTAGCATATTGTGGAGCAGTTTAGTCAATCATTAGCATTAGTTCTAACAGATATCGATACCCGACATCAATAAATAGGAAGAAGAACGTGAACTACAGTATTACATCATGGGTATACACTTGTAAATCGTGCAATCCTGCATAGCCAGAGAATTTGTAACTCAGCATATTATGTACGGATAAAGGATGTTTTATTTTATCGCATTAATATCAGTAACACAAGCCACCAATTACAATAACGGCTGTCGTAAATTGAATGTCTTCGTCAACTCATATTATTCTAGGGCTTTTACAGCAAAACAAGTCTGTACAGGTACTACAACCATCTCCAGAAAATGCTTCCCAAGAGCTCGATCTTCTAGTCCAGCTAGAATGAATAGACAGTATTACATTGTAAGTAATAAGAACTAGTTTAAAACGCCTTCCTCATGAGATTCACGATCACATCCTTACCTTCTTGAATCCAATTTCTAATGCGTGTTCACGGAACCATTGCCTTTGAACATTCAATCCGTATTTTCTTATTATACCGTGATGATTGCCGGTTACACGACTGCAAGGAAAGAGAATTTATAATACATGAGTTCAATAGCGAATTTGCAGAAATGGAGGGCGAAATAAATGACTTTAGAATTCGTGATTAGCGAGAATTAGTAGTCATTTTCGCAATAGTTAGCGGGTCATGAAGAATATCACTGATTGGCAGGGTAGAGACATTGTATGCTTTAAGATGAGTACTCTCACAGTTATCACAAGATTTTATGTCAACAACTGATACATGTGCAAATGCCATCGATGAAAGAACAGAAAGTACATGATTGTTGAGCATTCCTTCGAGAGTTTGAGTTAGTACTATAGCTACTGCTGTCATAACGTGAAGTCACTCAAGTCTATAATAAACGGCAGTTTATATCTATAAGTATGATGAAGTCACTTCACTTGAAAGAGGGAAATAGCAGCCGTAATCAAAAATTCACTCTCTTGCCAGTCATTTAAATACTACAGCATCCGCATATACAGTATAGTATTCAATTTTGGCAGGCAGGGCTGTCGAATGGTAGATGATTCTTTTCTATTTATAGTACATACCACGGTCTATCAAGACGCCAGTACACAAGGTTAGGCTAACGCAAACTGTGTTGACTCCGTACTTAGATTGTACGAAGACAAAACATCCATTTTAAAGTTCGTTCCGTTCTAAAAGTAGTATAGCACTGCACTCTTTGAAAGTCAACTTATTGAATCGTGGTGGCTATGATTGTGATATTAAAAGACTTTGCATGTGGTGCATCATCGTCATGATTCTCCTCTAGTCATGACGCCATGAATACTGTCCAAACAGTAGAACTCTGTTCATGATTGATTGATTTAATGACTAGCCTGACATGCCTGTAGTTCTGATTTTCGATAGAAAGACGTAATCTCTATACATTAAGCAATCATTTCAAGACTTACCAGCCTCTCGAACCAGGGCCAAATTTCCTAGGATGGCTATACCAAACTTTTGTGTGACTCATGGCTTAATTCGTCTTCTTGCCAATTTGTAGTCCAACGAAAAGAACGAAACGCACGTTGGCCGCTAGTCTTGTCTTGTTCATGGTAGCACTGCAGCATTCTGGGATATCACTTGGGTTGGTTGTCATGACGCATGCGTTTCGTCTACACAGTTCTCATCTCCAAGAAAACCTTTCAAGTCTGTACAGTACACTGGTAGGTACAGTATAGTACATTGTCCTGTATGATCAATGGCGGGCGTGAGTCAGGTGACTGAGAGATCCATGGATCACGTGCTGCACGTACAGTGTACAGTACAGTACTGTACACTGTATGGATTTTATACTGTATCATAAGATTCTAGCTGTACAGTACAGTAATAGTAACGGATCGTTTTGTAACTTAGCAGTGTCGTACTGTACAGTACTGTACACTGTACAGTGTACAGTACACTTGTAAATGTACGGTACAGTACTGTACTGTACTGTACAGTACTGTACAGTGTAGTCAAAACTACAGTACTTTGTTTGTCTAGGAATTGAGTACTGTAAACTTAAATATCTGTACTGTACTGTACTGTACTGTACAGTACAAGCGTGATCTTTTTCGTTCAAGATTATTAATTAAGTATTGTAAATGCTTAAATGCTTTAATATAGATCAAATCATATAAAAAATAATTCAAACAATAGTGTATTAGTTAAAGATTTCGAATCCGCAGTTAAATTTCTGTTGAAGTTATTCAGCTTTATATTCGTATAATAATAATTTTTATTACATTTTGATTCACTCTCGTGATTTTAGGGCACCTTAAAGTAATCTAATTCGAACTGGTTCACACTCAGTACAACGTCCAAACTAGTCCTAATGGATTGAAACGGCCTGCTATCGCACGATAGGCGTTTTCACTTCCATGGCTAAGTAAGATTCTGCCCTGAAGTGCGATAGCAAGTTTCTCACCAAAATCGAGCATGATGTTAGGATGATGTTAGACTGCGGTATTGCGATTATAAGAGATAGAACTGTACGGTACAGTCATCATGGCCTACAGTACGGTAGTCAAGAGGGATAGTATCGCCATAATGCGCTTCGTCTTGATCATCCATTCTTGATAAAGTATTTAATCGTTGTGTTGGTTTGATCGCCTCTACTGAAACACCTGTAATAGATCTTCAACAACCTCCTCCATCGACGGAGGCATCTTGTCACACACCGCCAGTGACAAAGTTAGTCTACACATGCCAAGGCTAACCAAAAACGCCTCTTACTGACTTCAAGAGACGAGATTAGCTATATGATTGTCAGGTCTAGCTATATCATCCGAAATAGATCACTTGCAACGACCGCATACTAAAGTATAGTTAGAGCGACACTGATTGTTTAGACGAGGTAGTCCGAGAATGGACTACTATTTATTACTGAAGAAATCTTGACAATTTAATAACTACATTATCATATTAATCAAAGACTGAACAGATGATAGCAAGAAATGATCGTGAATAAAACGTCAACCCACACAAACAATATTGAATATTACTCAATAATTTTGCAACCAGCTTACGCATCGTAACACATCTACAGACAGACCTATTGGGGGTGAGGATCGATATGTCTGCGCTCGCAAGCCCGATGGATTCAATACATAATAACAATCGCACTGATACAAGTTGATTAGCGTTATTGCACGATAAGGTGTTACATTTGAAGACTAGGATTGTAGCCTATCTCTTTCGCATCTTATGCATAGTATAGTCTTTTCATATTGAAGATCAATTAGAAGGGGAGTTCGATTGCGTACAACGAGAACGAAGAGTGGACGCAAACGTATCCCAACAACAGTTATTCTACTTGGGCAAGCGGAAATGATTCGTTTGAATTTTTAGCGTTGGATGGTGCTTATGCAATGTCCATCATGCTTAAACCATCCATACTGGATCACTCGTTTCTACAGAGTGATAATGCATTAAAATATTGAATAGAATGGATGCAATATTTAGTATTCAACTAGCCAACGGTTTGGCTGCTACGCTGCATGATAAGATTGGATATTGCACTTAATTCTCTATTGATTGAAGTACGGTTGTCTACTGTAAGGTGCATTCAGTGGGAGTTGCTTGGATGAAACCTGTAGTTTAATTATATACTGTAAAAAAAAAATTCATAAATACCGTTCAGGAAGGCAACTATCTTTAAAGGGATAAATCCAGGATTAAGTTAGAGAGTAAGATGTTTTGCTTTAGTCTAATGTCCATCGAGTAGCCTCACAATTAGCCAGTGTAGGAGATAGAGGAATATTCTATCTGGTAGGAGTGCTATATCCTGCGTCGAGTCCTACGGTGCTATAGCAAAGAATGCATGCCCGCTATAGTACAAGGATAATCGGCATAAAATAGGTCAAAGTTTGCATACGAAATGCTTGTGAAACTTTTTGAAAATTTCAACTAGCTATCGATACTATTTTGGTTCTCATCTCGTTGAGTCAAAGAATAGAATGAGTCGTGACCTATTTCATTGAATACAGGATCATAAAATAGTCATTATTTTCTCATTATGACTCCTTAAATTTATTAACTAATATCGATGTTTTATTTCATTTTTATAGAGTCTTAAATTAATGAGCGATGGATTAATTAATTAATTTGAATAGGGATAGCACTGGCGTTGCTATAATCAGCAAATATGGCTCTTTAGAAAGTGAGTGGGTGATAGATACA